TCAACCTACAAGCTATCTGAAGAAGATTTGATTGCAGGGCAGAATAAAAATGTTAATAACAATGACAAAGTAAAAGTCAAAAGCTGACAGAGGTAGAGGGGAAAGAAAAGGTGCAGGAAAGGATAAGGATGCTGATTCATCTTACAACATAGACAGCCCTGATAAATACAAGAGACTTAAGAATCTAATTTAGAGTAACAAATGTAGCCATATCCATCATTGGCTGTTTGCCTTAAGATCCAGTCCCCATACTTCTCCTGCAAACTACATTCCCCCAGGTTTCTTGCCAGCTGGCATCGAGGCTGGTTTCACCAATGGAAGCAGTGGAGAGAGAGAAGCGGGTATAAACCCAGATATTTTTCTCTCTCTCACTCTGCTTTCTAGAAATCCTCTCTGGACAGCCCCTTCTCCTGTGATACCAGCTCCCACTAGACAGCCCTGGTTGTAGTTGTATTTCTCCAGCCCTGGGTGATAGAAGCAGTTTACTAACATTACTAATTCCTGATTGCTTCATCATGCATTGTTTGCTTTCTTGGCTTTTCTACCACCTATGTAACTGTTTAAAATACCTATATTGACTCTTGTTTGCTGGCTGGATCCTGAGAAGAATTTAGTAATATATTAGGAGGAGAGAGGAAAGGTGGTGTAAGTAAACTACATCCAATCTTCATATAGGAAGTAGATGGTGCCAAAAACTGATAAATCAACTAACAGCAAGACAATCAGTATATTACTTAGAATTATGGAGATAACAACAAAAGAATAAAAAACTGAAACAGTTGTAAGTGTTGCCTGTAGCGAAGCGGAGGTTGTGGTTAGGGCAGTTTTTGTTTTTTTTTTTTGGTAAGCCCTTTTGAGCTATTTAAATTTTGTGATTTGCTTTTGTAAAAGCCATGTGTATGTATTACTTGGATTAAAATGTTTTTAATTTAAAAAATATACATACGTACATATATATACACACACATATATACATATATACACATATACATAGGTATATGTTCATACGTGTGTGTATATATATATATGGGCAAGGATATGAAGTATCTAGAATATTCTTACACTACTATTAGAGTTCATGTAAATTGGTATAACCACTTTGGAAAAACTGTTTGACAGAATCTACCAAAGCTGATCATTTGCATACCCTGTGACTCAGCAAATTCACTCTTAGGTATATGTTGTTACTGTTGTGTGCCATTGAGTCGATTCTGACTCGTAGAGACTCTGTAGGACAGAGGAGAACCACCCCATAGGGTTTCCTAGGCTGCCAGTCCTTACAGGAGCAGATCACCAGGTCTGGTGGATTCAAACCACTGAACTTTTGGTTAGCAGCACATGCTTAATAATTGTGCCACCAGGACTCCTTCTTAGGGTATATATCCCCCAAAAAATGTATACATAAGTTCACCAAAAGACATCTTCTACGATGTTCACTGAAGCTTTACTCATAATTGCTTCAAACTGGAATCTACCCATCAGTAGTTGAAGAAATATATTGTGGAATATCCACACAATGGAATTCTATACACCATGAGAATAAATGATCTACAACTACATGCAACAGTACAGATGAATCTAACAAACATAATTTTGAACGAAGGAAGCTAGCCACATGACACATAATTCCATTTACATAAAATCCAAAAACAAGAAAAATAATCTATACTGTAAGAAGTCAGGATAATGGTTATGTTAGGGGCAGGCTGGTAGTGACCGTAACGGGCATAAGAGAAGACTTCTGGGCTACTGGTAATGTTCTGTTGGTTTTTTTTTTAGTCTGAGTGCTGGTTTCCATGAATGTTTTAATTTATGGAAATTACCAAGCTGTAAATTTATAATACTTACAAGAATGTATATTTTTAATCTGCGAAAGTGAGAACCCTAAATCACACTCCCTCTTTCTATATACTCTTTCTACCAAACATTTAAACAAAGAAAGCATACTTAAAAAAATTCTAGAAGATCAATAATTACTCTAAAGCAAAGATTAGAAGGTAACAGGGCTTTAAACTGATTCATTCTGCTTCGAACCCCTGCTGAGAATTTGCATTTCTAACAAGTCCCCCCAACCCCTATCGCCCCCCAAAAAGAAAAACCCATTGCCACTGAGTCGATTTTGATTCACAGTGACCCTATCGGACAGAGTAGAACTACTTCATAGCGTTTCCAAGGAACAGCTGGTGAATTCAAACTGCCAACCTTTTGGTTAGCAGCCAAGCTCTTAACCACTACAGCACCAGGGCTCCAACAAGTTCCCAGACTAATGCTGCTAACTTAGGTACCAATTCTGACACCCACTAGTAGAGCAGTGGTTCTCAAAATTTATTATACATAAGAATCACCTGGGGATCTTGTTAAACTGATTAGCGTATCTGGGGTGTACATGCAAATTCTCAGCAGAGGTCCAAACCGGAACAAGCCAGTTAGAAGCCCAGGAAGGTAAGGGGGCAAGGAAACTAGATTACTGAAGACGGAACACCCAGAACGGAAATAATGAGAACACTGACACATTGTGAAAAATGTAACCAATGTCACCAAAAAATTTCTGTAGAAATTGCTAAATGGAACCTAATTTGCTGTGTAAACTTTCACTGATAACACAATATTATTTTTTTAAAAATCCTAGAAGGTAGAAATACATATATATACACATACACACAAACACACACGTATTTTATATAGTAAATTTCACAATTTGGAAGAATCTTAATGTTTGTATAAATGATTTCCATGGACTTTTCACTTTCCATGATAAATATACCATGGACTGCCAGAAAAATGAACAAATCTGTCTTGGAAGAAGTACAGCCAGAATGCTCCTTAGAAGCAACGGTGGTGAGACTTCATCTCACATACTTTGGACATGTTAGCAGGAGGGACCGATCCCTGGAGAAGGACATTATGCTTGGTAAAGTAGAGGGTGAGCGAAAAAGAGGAAGACCCTCAACCAGATGGATTGACAGAGTGGCTGCAACAACGGGCTCATACACAGCAGTGATTGTGAGGATGGCACAAGACCGGGCAGTGTTTCGTTCTGTTGTACATAGGGTCACTATGAGTTGAACTGACTTGAAGGCACTTAACCAGAAGAACGTAAATACCTTCAGAAGTAAAAGTGCAGTTTTGATTCCAGTAGAACATTTATTCAAAATTTGCTGGGTTAACCATAGTGTTTGGTGTTGTTATGATCTTTACGTTCCAGCTGGGCTTCAGACATTTTTATAGTTTTCTAAATCATGGTTTAGAATGGCATTTACTAAGACGTAAGAGAGTGCTGACAGTGAGAAATCATGGCTTTTGCGAAATCTGCCATCAAGCTCGATTTTGAGCTTCTTGGTCTTGGATAATGTCCATCTAAAACTTTCCCAGAAAATACTCGTGTCAACCTCAGATACTGCAACTTTGGCTTGCTCACCAAGTTAGAATGTGTTCTGTTATTCTTTGTGCTAACAAGGAATTAGAGCTAAATTACAAGCTTTATACCCAAGTCTAAACCTGAGTATGACAATGCTTCAAATATGGGGATATTTTTACTTTAGGAATAATTTTCTGCCATTTAAAACATAGCCATCTATTGTACTTGTTATGTCTCCTTTAACACAAGAAGTACAAATCTCATAAAACTAATTCTAACTTGGTTCTATGAACATAAATTAACCTGGTTCTGAAGCAACCCCTACTGAACTTATTAAAAGTGAAAATTTAGTGTAGAAATTTTCCAAGTTCTTGGATCAATAATTTTAATCTATTACTTTTATAAATTCTAGGATAGTTTAAAACACATTTAATAGCACATTCCAAATATATTTCAGAGATATCATGATGATAAAAGGCCCAAAAATATTAAGAAAACTTTTAACAGTGAAAACTGTCTAATAAATCAACGTAATCCAACCTCCTGTAGCCTAAGAAGTATATAGATATTTCTGTGTTTTCAATTAAATTCACCCACAAATTATCTTCTCTTCATCTGTCTTTTAGCTTTCCCAGACCACACTCTATTCTCAGGATACTGAAAGGCTGGGGAGCTAAATTCCCAAGTGACCACTCTTAGCATATAGACTTATTCTTAGCACACACACTTCCAGTTAACAGCATTTATTAAGCACTTCCTGGTGGTGCAGTGGTTATGAGCTCAGGCTGCTAACCAAAAGGCTGGCAGTTCGAATCCCCCAGCCGCTCCTTGGAAACCCTATGGGGCAGTTCTATACTGTCCTATACGGTCACTATGACTCAGAATCAATTCGATGGCAATTTTTTTTTTTTTAATGTGTCCAGCATTAATATCCCTTTTAATCCTTATAACAGTTCAATGATTTCTTTTACTAACCCACATTTGATAGTTTATGAAGCTAAGGCACAAAGAATTTAAGAAACTTTAAATCTAGAGTTCCATTCCAGGCACTGTGACTCCAAAGATACTATACTATGCTGCCTTCAATTACTGATAGGAACTCAGGTACGAAGACAAATTCAGGGCATGAAACCTGCCCTGGCTGTAGAATCTGCTCATACTTCATTTCTACCTTCTAGACTGTAATGAAAATCCTGGCCCTACTGTTATTCTATGGAACGGCCTTTACCGCTGCTTCTCATAAGCAAAGTTCTTAAATCTTTTTCACAATATAAGAATGTGGCCTTTAGGCCTTTTATAGCCACATGGGGACTTAGGGTCAAGATTCATAACCCTGAATTTTGATGCATTTTTAAGGAAATGTTCATTGCTGGCAAACTGGATAATGGCTTTGGCATGAAGCAATGCCCCCGGAGAGTCACTACATCATTAGTTAAAGAGTTGATGGAATATAGACTCCCAAGATAATCACAAAACACAAATCTCAAGACTTCTAGGAGTTTGAAGTTCACAAAAACAGTCAAAATTTATCAAATGTAAATTAAGGTGTTTTTCAATTCACATGCAAACATAAAACTACATTTCAAAAACTTTAGCATCATTGGAAAGACTAGACATTGTGTATTCTCTAAAATTTATTTACAGTCAATAAGTTAAAAAGCAAAGTACAACCAGATTGTAAATCGTAATCATATGCACATCAAACTGTCCAGGGAAAACACTTCAGTTCCATTACAAACACTTGCCTTCCAATGCACTTAAGACATTACAGTCTATCAAAAAATATTTTAAACACACAAATAAAGTAAATATTACGTATATATATTCATTAAAAACCACCAATTTAAAGAGTGCTGCGGCAACCCTTAAAACAAACAAAAAAAAAACCCTTGAGTTCAAAATTGCTCCTTTTTTTGTATTCAAATATTTTAAAAGCTTCTTTATTGAAGAGTTTGCAGAAAAATAGTACTATCATTTGCACATAGCAAATCAATAGGTGTCAGCCACCAGCTTAAGTCACACTCACTTGTCCAATAGGGTACTCAAACTTGGACAAAATAAATACACACCACAACAGCAACACTTTGCACTATCAACAATGAAGCTTGCCCTCAACAATTATGACATTACTGGTTTTAATAAGAAAAATAAGTTGCTGGTTGACAGGAAGGAGGATAAAAAATGACATCAGGAATCTCAAAAGGTTGTCTGAGGTGCCAGTAACCACATTTAGGCACTCAAGAGTTGAAAATAAAATAAACGCATAGCAAGGTGATACATTTCCTCCTAGCTTCCCCCTAACTTGTGCCATACGAGATATAAGAGAAGGCAAGAGAACGAATAAAGGTCATGGGATTTCTTTACAAACTATACAGGCTAAGCTACAGACTCACTTTAGAGGACAGTAAATGGATGCCTCACTATCAAGGCCACTGTGCCAAGTTTCTTTTCACATTCTGCCCAAAGTACCCATAAAATATTCGCTTTACTATTAATATACTCATCAACTATATTACGTGTTCCTTCACATTTCAGAAGTTGTAACATAGGTTTTGCTAAGGAAAACTTGGCAAAAATAAAAATTTTTTTTTTTACATCTTATTTCACAAAGTTGAAATGGCATGATTTTTTTATAGACCAGATAAATAACATTGAATTCAGGATGAGCAATCAGATCCAAACTGTAATCAGACAGCCCAAATAATCCAAACAAGCATTTATATGAGTTCAAGTGCACTGAAGTAACAAGGCAGGAGGAAAAAATGTCAAGAATTTCAGTCAAAATAAATGCATGGTGTCAATGGTTACGTTTCAGTCGTGTGCCGAGCAAAGTTATCCTCCCAGTTAAGTCTAATTTTTAAATCCTCTGGGAAACTATCTAGATAAGCTGCATGTTGAGATTACATTCTAATATGGCAATAGGATTTATTTTTTAATTATATAAAACTATATACAATAGTGAAGTGGTACAAATACATATTTTTTCCAGGTGCTAGTTAGCTATAAAAGTTAACAATATATTGTTGGGAAGAAAACCCTATGTATCTGAAATACAACTGGCAATGGAAGCTAATAACCAAAAGAATATATCTAAACTTCTATAACACAAATATAACACTCTCCATCTTCTAATTATTGGCTTTTATTTACTCATGTGACAGTGTTTGTAACAATGCATTGAGTAGTGAATGAACGACTATGAGGCTTACTGGGAAACTGGCATAAAGTCATATATATATTTCTTTTACAAAACAAGAACACTGAAATTAAAGTCACAAAACCCCTACTATGGACTATTAAACTTGAAAGATTCATTTCAGAAAGCTATGCCATTTGAATTCTGGGAACACAAGAGTCAAAATTCCAACTCTCATTATTTTCCTAAGAAGCTGCCAAGCAGAGATAAACCTCAGTACTGAGGATTTCATATGCCAAGTTCCAGCCCGGTATGGATTCTTCCATGGCAGAATACTTCAATTTGAAAGAATAGTGGTACAAAAACACTACTTGACCCTTTAGGTATTGCAGTAAAAGCTGGCTGTGGCACCACTGGCTAAAAACCATTAAGTCTTGCTACCACCAATGACCAAAGGCACTTGGATAATCAAGAATTCCACACTGGGCCATATAGTATAAACACTACTATAAAAGTGTAAAAGAAGGGTCAGTACTCTGTGTGGCTTGCCTGCTTGATTCCTGTAGTCTTCAGCTGTCAAACAAAGACCTATAACCGCAAACATAATTGTGAATGGAAAGAAGATGAAAAGGGAAATTCATGGAACAAAAAAGTCAACCAATTGTCATGATGTTTACAAAAGTGATGAACACTACTCTGGACATTTCTTGTTATCCAACAACAGAAACAAGGAAGAAAAGAAAAAGAGATCTATTCTGCTCAAAGAAAGTTCAACAAGTAATTTGATATCAAGAAATGTCTCCACCCCTCTAGGTCATCATCAGTTCTGAGAATTCTAATGGGTATTCTGTTTATCATTTTAAACACGTTTACACACATTCATTTTTCATATGTAATTCCCATTTTGAAATAAATCACCCTTGAAATAATATTGCTGGATTTGTATTTGGACCATTACGTGGAGGCCAAATCATCTCCAATTAGTTTTCATTCATCCCTGTAACCAACACCAGTTCTTTACAATTCATTATTTTATTACAAGCTATGTGGTTTTATTCAATTAAAAAGAATTTCACAAGTCAATTTTCCCTAAACTTTGAGTATTCTACCATTTTCTTTAGAAGCTCAGTAAATATAAACATTAAATTTCAATATAAAATCTTAACAAATACCTTAAAAACGTTTAAACAGTTGTACTTTACATCTCTTTGTTTGTAATCACTGAGCCCATGCAATTCAAAGCCATAGAAATCCTTGCACTATTAACAGTCATAAGCCTGAACAGCGTAAAAAATATCCTTGGTCAAAGCTTTGGAATCCAGTAAAATTTAGGGAACGAGTGGGATTCAGAATACCCTGAGCACAAGCTAGTGCAACATCACAAAATATGTTCGAGATTTCGTCCAGAAAGAGGGGTGGCAGTCAAAAAGAAAACGGAGGGGAGGATAAAAAGAAAATAAAATCTGGCTTTATTACACAAGCACGAAACCAAATTCCTTTGGAAAAATAATGATTTCTTCAGAGGACTTCCAGACCAGTGAGGTAGAGTCCAAAAGGGAGAAAACGGATCTGCCCTATAGTCCTGGAGACGTCTCAGTCTAGGATTAGGAAGAAAAGGAACCTCCCCAGCGGGTCCAGCTGTCTCCTCCCTCCGCAGACCCTGTGCGGGGAGGCAGTAGAGGACACACCTGCCTCGGAGTCCCAGACGGCGGCGCCGCATCCTGGGAGCGCGCGGCAAGGAAAATCATCTGGTGACTTCTTCGCCCGTAAAGTGCACTAGGGGACAGTGTCCTGGCCGGATCTGTAAACACTCGACCGACACTTGTTCATTCTTCCAGGCGGAAGCTCCGTCCCAAGGTGGGCGGCCACGGTGCCGTCGGAGGGGGCGGCGCAGGGCGGGAGGCCGTGCCTCTGCGGGCCGGGCGCGGCCAGCAGGAGGCGTCCTCAGGGTCGCGTCTCACGCCCGGGGCACGGGGAAGCGACGGAGCCTCACCACGGGTTCCAGGTTCACTCGCAGGACCTGGCGTGCTCGGCGCCGCGCCGCCGCCAGGCTGCGCTCGCCCCACACGTCGCTGCCGACGCGGATGGTGGGGAAGGTGGTCAGCGTCGGGGTGGCTGCCCTCCAGATCTCCTCCAGGGTGCGGCCCCCGAAGCAGGGCCCGGGGACCACGGGCTTGGCCGGGCAGCTCTCCTCGGGGACCGGCGGCGGCGGGGGTTTCCTCCTGCGGGTGGCGGCCGCCGGGGCTCCGCGGCGCCTCCTCCTGGCCGCAGCGCCCGGAGCCGGCCTGCGCTTCTGGCCGCGGGCGGCGGGGGGCGGCGGGGGGTCGGGGACGAGGGCTCGGCAGGAGGAGTAGCCGTAGACGTCCTTGCTGCGCAGGATGTGCGGGGAGAACTGGTGCTTGAGGCTGCAGAGGAAACTCCAGAGCTCCGCGTCCGAGCTCATGAACTCCGTGCTGCGGGGCATGAACAGCTTGAAGGCGTCGCCCAGCGCCTTGGTGCTGTCGGCCAGCGACAGTTGCGACCGCGAGTACACCACCTTCTCCTCCCGCGCCTCCAGTCCGGCCCCTCCTCCCGCCCTAAGGCTGCCGCCCCGGCCGGCCGTGACCGGAGCCGCCGGGGGACGGCGCCGCCGCCTCTTCACGCCGCGCCGCATCGGAGGCCGCTTGGGGCAGCCCGCGCTCGCCGGGTCCCGCCGCCGCCGCCCCCGCCCGCGTCCGGCTCCGCGGCGGCGGCGCGTCTCTCGCTACTTTTCTCGCCTCCGCTGCCGCCCCTCCCCCTCCGAGGGCGGAGGACGTGGGTGAATATCCTGCCGCCCGGTACAAGATGGCGGCCGGCGCCCACCCCTGGGCTTTGTCATTGGACGGCGCCTCGCCCCCCTGGTTTCTCTTTCTTCTCTCTTGCCTTCTTTCGCCCTCTGCCTTTCTTTAAATGGGCCCGCCTCAGGCCCCTCCCACCGCAGCCCCGACTCCACCCATTGGGTGCTCTCAAGAGAGGGGCGGGGACAAGTGGGGAGAGGCCAGTTCCTGGAAGATGGTGCTGGGATGGGTGATGATGGTGGGTCTTGAACACGAGTCAACAGTTGAGTGGGTCTATGGGGAGTGGTGCCTTGTCTAGAGTAAGGGATGGATGTCAGCTCCACCTTGGGGAGAGTCTTGGTCTTTCAGAGTGAGTGGCGTGCGTTTGTAGGTTGAGCTGGGAGATCTACCATCTGAATAACAAAGAGATGTGCCCAAAGGCTGTTGCTTGTATCATAGTAAGGGAATTGGGGTTTAAGTCTAGAGGGAATGGGTCTTTCACAATTCGCTTCTAAATCCCCAAAGGCCTCTTTAGACATCTTCATTCAACTTTCCCTGTCTTAGCCTCAATCCAGTCAAGAAATCACTAGTAATACAGAATCATACAGGTGATCTGGGCAGCTTCACAGAGGTTGTTTCCTTCTAGACAATGGAATCATCTTTATGTTTAAGAGACTCTGCTTATCAGGAAAGCAAAGACTTTCATAAAAGACTTTATAAAACTAAATAATCTGATAATCTTTGCTTAAACTGATAAAGATCAATTACATCCAAGCCAGTCAGCTTCAAGACAATATACTTGTTTTTAAATATGCAGTTCTTTCTAAAGGTCACTTCACTTTTCATTTAGTTTTAAATGTCCCTTTGCAGCACCATCCCCATCGTTTAGAAAGGCTGTAGTATCACATATAATCAACAAGGTTCCATTGAAGAGAACATATTGTTAAGAACAGGTTACCTTATTGTATGGGGGCAGGGGGGGGGGAGGACGTATGAATACTTACAGAGTAGTGGCCATTCTTTAGCCAACTTTTCTACTGTCAATACCTAGCTCAGCGCCAGTTTGTTGAGTGAATGAAATATCACTGATTCAAGCACTGGTTTGAGATAGAGTGAGAAAAAAATATTGAAAATTGCTTAGAACAAGACAGTTTTATATTTTGCATTTACATTGCAGTTTTCTCAGAACTCACATTTTTAAGGTTAAAAAAAATTCTCCCAGTACTCTGAAGTGGCATGCGAATTTTAACCTTCAGTGAGCATCTTATTTTGCAGATAGAAAAATCCTACAGCACAGAAGTTTTGCAATTTATGTATAGTTGCTAATGGTTCCCTCAAATTTTTTAGCCCAAAGAGACCTAATTCCATCTTCTTATTTCACAGATATGGAAATTTGGACCCAGAGAAGTTTAGTAATAGAGCTTGCTAACAGCAGGACTGGGACTGTAGTTCAGGTCTTTGGATTCCTTATCTAGCAATCTTTATCTCTTAGTGGTGGTTTTTCAAATTGTGCTGCCCAGAATCTAAGGGGTTCAACAGAAAACGCTTTACGCATGAGTGGGGTGACCAAGGGAGAGCGCTGTACACCTATTCCCGCTTCCACCCCACACCTCACCCAGGATCAAGCACTTTTTATCCCTATATATTGAACTTATATTTTGTTTGAAGCAGGGTTTCAATAAAAACTATAATAAATATTTTGAAAGGTGCTGCTCTACACACACCAGACATCCTCTCCACACAATGGCACAATGGGTTATGACAAAAACAAAACTGACCAGGAGACCATATCTACCAAAATCATGGTAACTTTCCGAAGAGAAAATAATTTTCCCAGAAAATCACACCCTGAACTCAAAACAAGATCATAGAGCCAATTGCCAGCTTCCTAAGTCCTTATAAAGAAATGATATTGCAACAACTGTTTACATCACCATTAGTTCTCCTGGTAATTCTGGGAATAGATAGTAATGTGTAATTTGAATAACTTCCATTGGAATGCCCCTACAGGCTGACGTAGTAAATCTCACAGAGTAAACCAGTAGAAAGGGAGATTTCATAACGAAAAGGGTAAAATAAGGATTTATGTAGTTTCTCATATTGTCATCCCTCATCCCTTACCATGTTGCTCATAATATAAGTACATCAGGGGGTTTTGCCACATAAATATTCACCAAGCATCTATCTAAACTTTAGAGAATCAATTTCAATTAAGAGGATATTTTGTCAACACAATTTTGAATCTCAAAAACGTAAGATCTCAACAAATTGCAGAGTATTCAAGAATTCATTTTATAATTCATGCTCATTTAATTTACTTAAAGCCAAACAAATTTTTTTATGAAATACTTTTAGGAACTAGTATCATGTTAAATGGCTTAAATTATTGTATACTTTTAAATTTGGCATTGTTTGTTCGCTAACTATTTTTTTGTTTCCTCTATTTCTTTACTATACTTATTTTTTCCCATTTCTTCTTGACCTCAAACTTTTGCTTATTGCAAATAGTCTTACAAATAGATTCTTATCAGGTCTCCATAAATGAGTAAAATTTACACATAAAGGTAATATATTTATTCTAGTTCCTGGAACATCATAAAGTTTATATAAAGTTATCATATTACATTTTTGTTCTTGAAGAATGATAGTTTAAAATCCTCTGTTTATTCCTTTATCTCTCAAGGGTAATGATGCTTCCTATATATGATAAATAGGTATGTTGGATAATAAGAATAAACAAAAAACTAGCTATATATGTATGTTTTCTGTATTAGATAAAAATAAATCCAAGCAGAAAAGTGATGGAGAAACTAAAAATGTATCTCTTAACTACCTAGAACCTTTTGCTACAAGATGCCATTTCTATCAAAATAACTGGCTTCATGAAAAGGCGCCAAAAAAAAGAAAAGTATGTATAAGTGATTGAGAACATCAGCTCTGAAGTCAAATAGGTCAAAATATCTCTGGACAGGTTCCTTCACCTTTCTGAGCCTGGATTTTCTTATCTATGTGTGACTTCTACTTTAATGGATTGTTCTGAGGATTGGATGAGATAATATTGGTAAAATATTTACTATAGTGCCCAGAACACAGTAAGCATTTAATAACTGAAAGCTGTCCTTGTCTAATTATGAGTATTTACTAGGCTTAACCAACGTATTTCAAGTCTAGTAGCCCAGTGAGAGTCTAGTGGTAAAAAAGTAACAGAACTCATGAAAAGAAAATTAAAATGTTAAGAGGTAGAAGGAAACTTAGAGATCATCTAATAAGTTCAACACTCTTAATTTAGATGAGAATACTGAAATGACAAGAGAGCTGCCTATGGTCACAGAACTGGATGGTGGAAGACTATGAACTAGAACCAAGGTCCTAGAATTAGAGGCCATGAACTAGAACTGCTAGACCAGAGTTGTTTCTACCATTCAAAAATTTGTATTTAATCCAAGGAGATAGCACTAATTTTTAGTTAAATAGAGCATGATTCATCAAGAAAAAATTAAAACCATTCTAAAGTAATTTAGAATTTTCTAGAAAAGTTATTTCAAAGCTCTGATATGCTCCAAAACTGCTTAATGTGAAGTACATTAAGACCATATAAACTGAGAAGATAAGGCTTCTGCTTTCAAGAAAATGGAATACATGTACTTTTTTCCTATTCCTTCCACTAATTATAACTAAAAAAACATGGAAATTATATATATATATAACAAAAATAAGAAGACTCTGAAAGGTTGAAAGGTGGAGAGAAGGCAGACCAGCTAGGGACATCAGGACCCAAAGATTGACACAGTGCTGAGTTCCCTGGGTTTTCTTTTTGCTTCACACATCCCAGACTGGGTACTGGAGAAAACAGCAACTCAAAATACCAATAGATGCAGACAAAAAAAAAAAAAAGCCCCAACAATAGCCTGTTCTTCATAGCCATAGGACCAGGAAAGGGGCAGCCTAGCAAAACAGAAAACTTTTAGAAAATAATTTCACTACTGCAGCAAAACACCACAAAAACAAACTGTGGCTGCCACCCTCACCAGGCTGTAAAGAGGCACCTCAGTGCTACTGCTGGGGTGATACCAGAGAAGGCTGAGTAGGGAATCAGGGCCTTCATTCCTGCTAGGTGGTAAAGAGACAACCCCCCACTCATAGTGTCAGCAGAGACCACGTGAGAAGCAGTAATAAGACATTCCTACTCTTCCCAGCCAGGGAGATATAAGTGGAGTCTAAGTAGGGAGTCAGAACTCCCACCCACACCCAGCAGTAATAAGGTGTCCCCCTCCCCAGCTTGGGTGTAAACGGAGGCAGAGTGGGAAACCTGGACTTCAACCTGGCAATAACAAGGCAGCATCCCCTTTCCCCTGTTGGAACAGTGTCAGAGAAAGCCAGCTAAAACAGAAGGCTTAAATAAGATTCAAAGTCTCATAACATAATACCATCCCAAGAACTATAAAGATCTCAAACTGAACAATAAAATGCTATCAACAGATGGCAACACTGAGATGACAGAGAATTTAGAATTATCTGACAAAAATTTTAAAGCAGGCACCATAAAAATACTTCAACAAAATTACAAACATCTTTGAAACAAATGAAAGAATAGAACGCCTCATCAAATAAACAAAAAGTCTTAGCAAAGAAATAGGAGATATAAAGAAGAACCAAATGGAAATTTTAGAACTGAAAAATATAATAAATGAAATAAAAGCTTAGTGGATGGGCTGAACAGAAGAATGGAGGAGACAGAGGGAAGAATCAATGAATTTGAAGAAAGAACAATAGATATCACTCAATCTGAACAACAGAGAGAGAAACTAGACTGGAATTGAAAAAAAAAAAAAAAGAACAGAGCCTCAGGGACCTGTGGAGCTCTGGAAG